ACTATACTTATATTATGACCTCATAGAAGTCTTTTAAACCTTAAATTCATAACGATTGCAAATGAAGTAATTCGTTTATAATAAAACTTACATAAAAGCGAATTTACTATTGTGGGTTGCTATTAATATAGCAGTATTTTTTTAAAACAAGTTAAATATTTATTGGTAGAAAAAATAAATAATTTCTAATATAATCAAACAATGATTCATGAAATAACAATTATTCAATAGATTCAATAGAGAAAAAATAGAGATTCAATAGAAAAACTTCTGTCTAAAATTCCAGCACAAGTGCAATATTTAGCATACCATTGAGATACATTGAGAAGATACCTACACAATATAAAAATACAAAACCTGTTGGTTAGTTGAATGATGTTACTTGAATGCATTTTAATAATTTTATTATCTATATGCATAAACGATAAAAGTTTCCGTCCGTCCCTATATGTAAATATTTGAAATATTCAAAATATCTAAGCTTCACTTTCTACACATATTAGACTCTATAAAAAGTTACATTGCAAAATGGTAAAAATGTTTTTACTCGGTGTCGATAAATCTGTTTAAAACGATTTCGTCTTAGCTTGCTTTGAAACTGAATGAATGTTAAACTATTTCCGTCAATTAAACTCAAAGCTAAACAGAGACACTTAATTTGAGGTCGTTCACGTACTTTTGTACATTTTTTATGAAAAGAGTATCTATAAGTAATTTGCATGACAACGCAACTTGTCGATGTGAGTCGATTGAATGTTAATAATAATATATATTTACTTATCTTATTTTCATGTGTATACCTACAAAATTTCAGTTAAATATTAATATTTACATGTCAGGCTAAATCGTATAATTAAAAAAGAATGCTTTAGCAATAATTCATTTTCTTCCAAAGTCATCAATGTAAAATAAATGAAAAGTATTTTTAAAAAAAATAATAAAAAATCCCTCTGTAAGTAAGTTTATTGCTAATTTCTGCTGGCCAGTTTATTTAAATGAGTCTCTCCAACCAGTTGTGAAGCTTATTAATTTCAGTATTCAAATAAAAAATGCAAATAGTAAATGCTTATTCGGCATACTTTTTGTTTGTGGTCATATTTATTTGAGTTTAACATATGACTCTATATATATCGTAAGACGTGTGGAGAAATGTAAGGCGAGGCAAAATTGTTATAATAAACAAACGAACAAAAAAAAGAAACTACCTTTTTTCGAAATATTCGAAATAGAAACCCAGAGAAATTTCAAAAATTTAAATGATAACAAGGTTCGTCTTCGCTAATAAAAAATTAATAAATAAAAACAAAACCAATAGCAAAAAGAGAACAAGTTGATATAATACAAGCTAATTTCTCTATTAAACAATCCCAACCATTTTAAAATCTGTTAGAGATTTGCGGCTTAATTACAATTGTATATATGCGGCTTAATTAATTTATATATTTGCAAATTGATTTCTGAATTTTTACCCTTTATAATAGTAGGATTGCTTACGTGAATACAATATGATACGAGACAGCTATCAAGATTAGTACCATTATAAACAACAAAGAACTTGAATCGTATGATAAGTATAACTTGGACCACAAAATAGCAAGAAACTATTTTTAACAAGAAAAATTATAAAAATTTCATTCGACAAACATAATCTATATAAATACATAACTTAATATAGACTTAAATAAATAGGTGAAGCACATCAGTGGATAACTTTTTGGTCTAACTAAGAAAAACGAATCTTTTTGTAGATATTCGATTTTAATCATCACCATACTTTTCTTCAAGAATAATACATTCATCTCATAGTTTATTCCAGTAACATCTTTTTGGTGTCTTTAATAAGCCACGAGGACGAAAGACTACTATACGATGGGAGGGGAAAGCAATTCGAAACCTAATTTATTCAATATAACCATCGTTTTCATCAACTTGGGATTTGTGATTATTGGTACGGTATTAGTAAACGAGATATCCAATTCAAAAACAACTAACGTTTGTTCATTTTGTTAACGCTCCATTTTCTTGTGTGTTGATACATACTTAAAGTATCAACTATCTTACACAACTTCACTTTTCGGTTTTTTAAAATTATTTTGTGGAATTCTTCATATCCGGTGGTTGTTTACTGGAATAACTGCCGATTTTGAGCTTATAAAGCATAATCAATGGCTGTACGATCGCACCTTTAAAGTCAGCGAAATAGTTCAAATCGCTTATCAAGTCACAATTTGCATTCAATAATATTTTTAACCATCAAAAACCAGTATTAAATCAAGGCCCGAAATAGATTTTAAATTATTCTTTTGAGAATTACAACACTGTGGTCACTTAAACTACTATAACCGGTAAACTAATAATCAGAATTTCATAATATTCTGACTTTTACTAAAGTCTATAGCACTAAAGGCGTCTTTTTAATCGTCTTTTTAATAACCGGTAAACAAATAATCAGAATCTCATTATACTCTGACTTTTACTGAAGTCTATAGGACTTCAGGCGTCTTTTTAAGCACTTAAGGCGTCTTTTATTGAAACTCACAATACAGTATTTGTGAAATAAACTATTCATTAGAAAGAGCTTTCGTAAAAATACCTTCTGCTCAAAAAGTATCTGGTATTTGTATTTGTTGTTTGTTAACTACTCCTTAAGTAATAGACCTTTTCCAAAAAATTTTTTTTATGTTGGTACACTCTTTTTGACATATGGTACAAATTTGAGCACCATCTGTCAATTAGTTTGTTTACAGCAGCTATTAATGTGAGATTACTTCAAATGCATTTACCGATTTTTACTATGGAAAATTCTTGTTTTACGCGATTTTTTGACCAAACACGGCACCACTGTCATCGCTCAGGCCCCAGATATTCGCTAGATCTGGCTCCGTGCGACTTTTTCCTGTTCCCGAAACTCAAATTGCCCCTTTGTGGTAAGCGTTTTGAGTCAATTGAATCGGTAAAAGAGAATTTGCTGAAGGAACTAAAAGCCATACCTTCACGGGCCTACGAAAAGTGTATGGAAGATTAGGTTAAGCGTTGGCATATGTGTATCGCTTCAGGAGCATATTTTGAAGGAGATAAAAAAAATTTGTAATAAAATTTAAATTTGTGTGTTTTATTTACAAAATCCAAGTACTTTTTGATCAGAAGGTAAACTTTATTCATCAATTTATTACAGCTCCGATAGCTGTCATTTTAAGGTTTCTCTTGTGTCTCAATAAGATATTACTTTCAGTTAAGACTTCATTTTAAGATTTTAAAATTTTTAATTAATTTTAAGAAGTGCGAATTGATAGTAACTTTTGGTCGGCTGTGAACAAAAAGGAGTACAGATTTTAATCACATCTTTCGCATCAGATTATCTTGATGTGAAATAGTTCTTACGAGTACACTGCTTGTTTAAACTTGTGTCAGCTGTTTTCTTGAATTAACCTTTTCAGTTATTCAAACTGAAAAAAGTTGGCTTTTACGTATATTCTTCTGATACTTTCTTGAGTAGTCTCGACCGTACAGTATCTTCCTTGCCTTTATGACTTTATTAACCAAATTAGCCGTGGTCATGTTTTAAAGTAACAAACTCACAACAAATGATTAATTTTAATGAAACAGGACCATTTCTAGGTATTTTGCTTCACCCACAAACAATATTTAATTAACATATGAATCGGTGGATTGGATAAATTCAGCTTGGTAAATATTGATCTCATGACTTTTAAAGTCTGCCCTTGATTACTGTTATGGCGTTTCGGTTCACCTAATAAAAAAATAATGCCCTAAATTGTTTTTGCTCTATTTTGACATTCCATTAAATTGCCAAAAAGCGTTATAGCTGTAACCCGATGACTAACGGTCAGAATGTCATGATATTTTGACACGTATCGTACGAAGGTTGCAGTTTACGTAGTTTTAAGTATTTATATTAAAAATATTATTGTTTTTACAGTAGTTAGTTTTATGCAAATAAGTGTAATTTTTGGGACTAGACGCTCCTTCAAGTTTCAATGAAATTTAACGATTAAGTCACAATATTAAAAAAATTTGTAAAAGTATTTATTATTTATTATTTATATTGAAAAATATTAAACTTTTTGGAATTTCATTTTATTTTTGATTATGTTTTATGACTACTGTAGATTCGTCTTTATGTAGAGTTATTTTGTTGTAAGGTTATTTATATTTAGAACTTTATATATGTATTATTTTTGGATTTTATACTCTTAACGCAGTTTAGATAGCTGCCTTTAATTACCTTATAAAAGCTTAATGTTTCAATTTTCAATTTTGAAACATGTTGCTGTTTTTATTATACACATCTTAATATATTTTAAATATTAAAATATTGTGTTTAAATGTTGTATTATACATTATAATATTTATACATTTATTATCATATTTTTTTTATATATTGTCTTATGTATACACATATTATTATATTTTTAACTACTTTTTATTATCATCTTACATATCATTTTATCTGCTTTTTAGATAACTTATTATATTTTAAATATTGTAGTAAATATACTATATATGTATGTATATACTAATTATTATATTTTTTCATATATGTTATATATACTCTGTCTTGCAAACTCATTGCAAGGTGTACGAAATGCGCTATTTGCGCGAGCTCGCAATGGACAACAGCAAAATATACGCCTAAAATTTCTTGCAATTGCTTGCAATCTTGCTTTACCTAAATCCATGTATGTATGCAACGAAACAAAAAAGGAAAACAAACACTTGTTTTGACATGTGTTGCTTCTCCTGTGGATGTGTTATGCAGCAATAACAGCTGTTTTATTTTGATGTTGGTAATTCTGCACTCTTGCAATTTAGTACAGCATTTTTGTATTTCGTGCACCTTGCAATAACTTTGCAAGACAGAGTAAATACCCCTATATATATATATCTTTTTATATATACATATACGTATATGTATATAAATATATTATTATATTTTTAACTACTCTAATAAAGTGAGCTATTTCTCAATTAATACTTACAATTTTTAACAGAAGTATATCCCTCGGCAGCACTGCTACTACTTCCACCTCCACCGTTCATACTTATGCCACCGGCATGTCCATTGGATTGTCTACCGATACTGTTTAAGGTTGTTGTACTTCCTGCACGTGAACGCCAACCGCTTTGACTTAATGCGGGCTGATGATGATGGTTCCCATTCGATAGGGCTATAGTTGTTAAGTCGCCATTTGATTTACTGCTAACTGCACTTTTTAATGTTCCATATACACTGCTGCTTCCACCACCCGTGCTGCCTGTTTCCAGCTGTCTAGCATAAGAATTATCTGCATAAGCATGGAAACAGCATCTGACTAGAGCATTCGCTGCTGCTTCGCGTTTACAAATAAATACGTGACACTCGAGTACTTTAATGCCGGTGGTGCGGCGTAATATAGCAGCAAATATCGGTGGATGCTGTGATCTTGGTACACGTGCAAACGGCGAATCGAGTGGTAAAAATTTAGGTTCTGGATTTGAATTACCACGTTCAGGTATAAGTACTTGTCTTACAGCAGCGCAATAATGTAAGGACTCAATGGGAAAAAATCTAGTAATTTGTTTTAAGTTCTCGTCGACATTCTCAAGAAGTATGCCATTTGACCAAACACTTAGCCAAGAATCGATACCTTTGGCACCTACTGCTCCTTCCGATGGATATAGACTGCGCAGAGGCTCTTGTATACCTTGTAAGCCATCCTTACTTTGTCGTGGAACTGCACTACCCAAATAAAGCACGCGGCAACGACATATTGGCGTTGAATCTCCCATTCTGTAATTTTGTTTGTTTTTTTTTTTCGTTGTTATTTTGTCAAATTTATAACAGGAAATAGAAATTTCAGTGGAACAGCTGGTAAAGTATTTAAAAACTCGTTCGAGATGGTTATATTTTTTGAGTTTTCTTTTTGTTGCGAAACTAAAGAATTTATAACCTCAAAATTGACGATTCAGATTCAGAAGTTGGCAATAAAATGAAGAGAATTCTTCCATAAAAGCAAGTAACAAATAATAAATAACAAAAAACAAAAAACCAGAAACAATAAACAAGAAACTGTGGCAAAGATCGTAAAACACAGTGAAGACGGTTTGTTAACAAAGTTGATTTTCTGGTTTCCTGTCGTTTTTTATTTTGCTAGCTTTTTAAAATTGTGTTTCTCAAGAATTTTGTGCTTAGGTAGCTGTTATTTTGGCACACACACACTTAGATACATAGCCACTGTAGCACACATCGACATTAATAAAATTCCGTTGGAATTCAGAGGTGTTTTTGAATATCACAAGCCTTTCGCAAACTTGCTATGTAATTTTATAGAAAATTGTTAAGTAAATTAATTAAATCTTTGATTATTTGTTGTTGCAACTTTTATTACACTTTTTCACAAATACACACTATTTCAACTTCCACATTCACATGAAATTGGTTATTTCAATTTGCATAAATTATAATTAAATATGTGCGTTGGACTCTCGTCGTAACTATTCGTGGCTCGAATGTCGTTACAAATCAAATATGGCCGCGAAATCAAATTCCTTCTTTTTGCACATTTTATAGTATTTTTTGTCGATGTGTTTGTATTGTAAGTATGTAATATAAATTATGTTTTCACAAAAATAACCATCTATTGGTATATTTAAATATCTTCGTTTAATTTTGTATCGGCACTGCAAATAACATTTAGAATTTTTTTTTTTTTTGTAGTTATTATAGAATAAAATAATAGATGAAATGACTGCACAAATTTATATAATCCAACCGCGAACTGTTTGCGCGATTCAAATCAACTCGACAACGCTTTACCTGCAACTACGTGGTATTTTCTTTAACGACTTGCCTGTTGCTTCGCTCACGAATTCAACGCATTCAATTGTTGTTTTACGACTTTGTCTACATTGTTCATGTGACGATCGAGAGCAGTTTTGTTTTTGTTTCTGTTTCTGTTTCAGTTTAAACACGACTTCAATACTTCTTCTCACCAGTCAAGTGTGTTTTCTGCTTTTCTGCTCTCTCAGGTCTATAAGATTTTCATTGAGAGACTTGTTAGATAAAACAAAAACAAGCAACTTAAGAATTTCTTACCTGTTGAAGAGTAGCAAAGCAAAGACGAAACTCAAAAGCAGAAAACATAGATTTTGTTACATTTTTGTTATTCTATTTGAGTTTCGTTGTTGTTGTTGCTGTTATTGTTGTTGTTTTTATAATTGTTGCTTACTTTTAAGTTTTTTATTACCATATTCCTCTAGGACAAATGTTGTTGAAACGATACCGAGTTGGTATGGTTCAACATCGTTCAATACTTAATTGACAGAAGATATATTTTTATATATAAATTAACCACATTCTTACTAGGCGTAAAATTGTTCTAGATATAACATAAAAAAGCATTTATAAATATAATTAAAAAATAAACTTTTATAGTAAATATACTATAAAAAAAATTAGCATGACTTTCTCAGTATCACGTTCCTAGATTTTGGTTCTCTACATAAGAAAGAATATATAAATCATGCAACAAATTATGCCTCTACAAACAGAATAGAATTGTAATTTAGCAATATATTAAAAATAAAAATATAATTAGTTAATTCAAGTATTCTACAGCTGGCTTATAAGCACAAATGAACAAAAACTTCAGGAAAATGTACGAACATAGAAGTCAAGTACGGCTTTGGATCAGTTGGTAAAGGAGCGCTATCTCTGAGCTTCAAATTTGGCAGGGCACAAGTTCGATTCCTGGTATTTGCAGTCACAAAAAATTATTTAAGAATAATTAAATACAAGAATAATTTCTAAGACCACTGATGATGGGTATTTGGCGGTACTCGAAACAGCTGCATGGTCAGCCAAAAATTCATTTAATTAAAATAATATAAAAAATAATTTTTCTTGTTGTTGGTTACTACCTTTCAAAACCTCTTTACATAAATATGCTAACTATTTGTTTATTACGTTAGTTATAGTTCTAAATGAACTACTTCCCAATTAAAGGCGTAGAAATTACAATAGAAAACTTTGAAATAACTATCGGTAAGGTAGGGGCCTCACTTGGTGTGCACTGTTGACCATAAACGTGACCATGTAACGTCTGGAAAACAATGTTTGGAAATATTTAAACATAATATAACAGAACTTTTGTATTTCTATATCAAGTCATTTGTTTTAAAAAATGGATCTATGACTTCATTACGTTTCAATCGATAAGAATATAGTCAAAAAGTGCACGCTATCAAATGATTCATTATAAGATCTTTAGAATTTAATCCCATTATATTTTGCTGCATCAATTTATTTCATGAAAATAGTTTCAATCAGCAAAAGATATTATTGTAAATTATATAGTTGTGTATGATTGAATAAAATGACTGAATATACCTACAAGTAATATTCAATATGTTTTATTTTATAATTCTTATTTGCTTTAGTAAACACAGTTTATAAAAATATTTTTGAATATAATGCGAAGTACTTATTAAATTTAATGTAAAATGTTTAAATAGAATCGATGCGTATGTGGATTTTTATCACAACAGAGGGCGAGTTCGCCACAAGTATATGTTTTAATATATTTGGTCAGATTCATTTGTTCGAAATAATGGGGTAAATTGTATCAGAAAAACAGTAAACTTGACTTTTTGGACTTGATCTGAAAATGAGAGAAATCATTAAGTCACTGATATATGTAACAGTTTTTTGTGACTTGTCCTGTAGTTTAATTTAAGCAAATGATCAATGTTGATTAGTAAAAATAGTTTTCCTATTATATGTGAGTAAAATTTTATAAGTAAGAAATGATTCGATAGGAAATTTAGTGTCATGTTTCCATGCGAAGACACATCACTATCATTAAGAGAAAGTCTAATCATTTTTTCTGAAAGCTTTAAAATATGCTGAATTCTTCTCGTGCTGAATTTTTTAATTAAATATGGTATTTGAAAGACATGTAGGCACCTTTATACAAATTGGTACCGTTTTGTTAAGATAAAATTCAGTAGTATCAGTGAGATGTCCTGTATAGATTTTAGTCTTGTGGTAGGTTTGCTCAGGGATCAAAGCCATTTAGATAACCATGTCAGAAGATTGTACATTTTATACCTTTTAATCCTTCCTGTCGCAGTTATAAAGATAATGATTAAAGTTGCCCATCTGCTTTTTTATTGCATTTGGCATTCCTTGGCGCGATGCCGTTTTACTATTATAATGGTTTTCTTCTTAGCTAACTCCAGGACCTTTCACTAAAAAGTATTTTAAGTTTTGCCAAAGGGTCGAGGTGGTTTTTAAACTTATTTTTTTTTTATGGTAACAGCATATCCTAACCTAACCCACGTACTAATGAGCAGGGACTTTTTTATAGAGTTGAAATTGGAATTATCTCGAGAATATCGGAATTACAAGTTAGTGCTATATGTCTACACAGATTTCAAAAAGACAAAATAAGTTCCATTTCCCAGTAGTTCTACACTAAACTTTTACACAGGAACGTAATCCTTCCAAATATAGGAAAAGTTACTTATTCAACAGCATAATTTTTTTTCATTAAAAATGTGTATATATACACGGTTGCCACTTGAAAATTTTTTTCTGTACCAAAATTGGTTTAAAAAGGTACCATTTCTGTAAAAAAAGGTCCAACATTTTTTTGGACCTTTTTATTTTTTCGTTCTGTGTTTTTCATAGTGTTATAAATGAACAAAATATAAAATAGTGCAAAGTTGCATTTATAAAAAAAATTAATTGGAAATATCCACAATAAAGTTGGGTCGTCAAAAATGTACCATCTTTTGAACATGAGTACCAAACGAAAAAAAAAGTACCAATTTTGGTACTAAAGTACCATAAGTGGCAACCGTGTATATATATATACAGAACAATTTTTATATTGTTTGATGTGATTTTATTATTTTTCTAATGGTAAAGGAGATTGAGTTTCATTTGTTTTTATGTCCAGTGCAGAATTGGTTGATACCGATTGAAGACTTTGATAAATTCTATTCTTTAGCTATATTCAGTAGTCCATGAGTAGCGAGCATGTTGAGAAATAAAAACAGATTAACCGAAAAAAGAAACTGACTTTACCATATTTTTCCAACTTATTGGCTTGCCCTCGTTAATGCAACAATTATCACACATATATTTCAAATGTGATTTAATTGAAAATGATAGGCCTTTCGGAAATTGTAAAATTTTTTATGTAAATAGCAAAACGCAGACATAATGGGTTTTTGGCCGCAAAAAACAAAACACCTTTTTTTTTTTGGTAAAGTTAAGCCTTATGAATAGTTTTAATACATAAAATCGAAACTGCAAAATGTTGAGTTGTGTCAGTTTTCCAGTGGGTGTATGGAAATTACCAGGTACCCAAGCAGCAATAAAGATACTGCAATATTTGCAATAACATTAAAATTGGTTGATTGTTTAGCGCATAATTAATATCCTGAGGAACAGTAATAATCCAATTATGAATTTTAAAAGATAATTACTTCAAAGGCAACAACTGTTAATAATCCAAAAATAAGATAAACTTAACTATAAGAAAAACATATTTAAAAGAAAAAGGCTTTTGAAATTTTATCTGTAAGCATTAGTAAGATATGTGTATTACCTAGTTCTTCGTAATATATGATAGCTAATTGAGAGTTATTCTTTTTTGTATTTCTCTAAAGTTCAACTTTTGCTACCATTAAATAATTAACAGATGTGTCAGACTTAATGAACTTCATTGTTCCAGACTATCAATACATACATGATGGATTATGATGATGGAGTACTTGACTATATTAATATATCAAATATATAGAATATAGTCCTTTTATTTTGTTAGAATTTTTGAATATTGGTACCGAGCAGAGTTTTTATAAATTCATTTTTATTGAATCGGCAAATGGATTAAATTGTCATTTATCAATACATATTACTTTAACAAAGGTTTTGTTTATATCTAACAAGGCTTTCTGAAAGAAATATGTGTTATTTTAGTTATTTTAAGTTTAATTTTAATAGAAGTGCATACTTATTAATAGACGCCATATTGAATCAATTTTATCGATTTGAACTGAAGGAATTTATAAAAATTTATTTTTACAACATTTAATTCGATTAAATAGGAAATCTAGAAATAAATTCGTTGGCATTTAGCGACACTGATCGAGAGGTATATTAGATATAATGACATACATACATGGCGAGTTAAAATGCAAATAAAAACATTTTAAAGAAAATATTGGGGTAACAGTGAGAATATTTTTAAATTGAATATAATAATAATAATAATAAATATAATAATAATAAGCAACAGTAAGTAAGAAGTAACAGTAAAACTGTACAAAATAGATTTTTATTGAAAACAATAGTTTATATTAAAAATTTAGTTGCTTTCTTTCCAAAACGGACGTTAAAAATCATTTTAATAAAGTAGAAATTACTAATTTTTTATAGCAGTAGCGCCATCCCACGGAGGATAACAAAGACTGAAGTGATGTCTCTACATATTTCTATTCAAGACTCAAACTATAATTAAATTTATAGCAAAGACTCAACCCTCTTATCATAAGGTATTGTTTATTGTAGTCATGTCAACCACCACAGTTTGAGAGTTATTACACTTATGGTCCATATTCAGCACATACATTCTAAATGTAATCTCTCCAAAATCTCAGCAATATTTTTATCCATTTTTAAGACCGTATAAATAAATCCTTGAAAATTGAAAAGTTTGGTATAGAAAAGAGAATATCACTTCAATGCTGCCGGAAAATTATAAAGTCTTAACAAGGTGTATGCAGTGGCTTTGTATGACTGTGGTAATACTATGTATTACCGTTGCCTTCTAAATTTAATGCGCTTCATATATAACTTATTTACTTTACTATTGTTACGGATGTAGAACGGCTGTAGAAGAAAAGAAAAGCAAAGGTGTTAGATGGGCATCGTACACTTCCAATAACGAAATTATAACCAAATGTATAGGTTCAATTGGTACCGGCGAAGTACTTTGAAATTCCAATAGAGGCGTTTGTTGTTGCATTATAGTGACAATTTTGTGAAGAAAACCGTGGTGTTTTGCATTAATGCATTAATCATGTTCAAAATCTATAGACTCTGTCTTAACAGATCTCAACATTTGTTTGAAGAGGTATTTCATATAACTTAGATTTCATGTAACGTATATTATGTATATTATACAGCACAAAAGATCAATTATGGTCGCAGTGCTCCGTTTCGTTGGGAGCTGGTACCCTGTTTATTTCTATTCTATTTATGGCACATAAAAGTATTATTAAATTTATCATCTATGAAAGCAACCTTACACATTAAATTGAATATTGAGGGGAGTACAGTGCCATTGTTATTTGTTAACCTCAATAATGGCTCTTCATTTTGTTTAACATTAGGTAAAATGGTCAGTAAGTAATTTAATGATATTTCACATTGTTTCCAATTAAAATTTACTACAAAAATCTTATTCAGAAATAAATTTTCTTTTTGGTACTGTTAGCTGGCATTTTTAATTTTTTGCACTGCCTAATAGTCAGCTAAAAAGTTTAATAGTTGGCTATTATACTTTTGCTTGTTTTATTCCATATATTCGAGATAACTTGAACACGGATTTAAAAAAAAAACGATTAGTTAGATGTATAATTATATATAATACTAGGTGACCCCGCGAACTTCGTACCGCGTAACAGTCAATAAATGTTATATTAAATTATAGGTAAACTAAATTTAGAAATAAAATGAATACAAAAAATTTATTGTATTCAATAGTTTATTAGGATATTGATATATAATTAATTATTTTAATGGTCTGTCAGCAAGAACCTATGGGTTGCACTCCGATTGACACTCTTCAATAAAGAACCTTGTGATATACGATATTTTTTGTTTTTTTATCAGGCGCAAGAACAAATAAAGCAGATGGTTTGCCTACACGTGAACATGCCACGTACAATTGACCATGTGAAAAACATGCATTTTCTAGATTCAGATCACAAACACTAAAGGATTGGCCTTGTGATTTATTTATAGTCATAGCGAATGCAAGCCGAATAGGAAATTGAATTCGTTTAAACTCAAAGGGCATATCGATTGAGATCATTGGAATTTTCGGAATGAGAACTTCATCACTTTTGAATTTTCCTTTGAGTATCATTGCGTGAATCACATTGGCCATCAGTTTTGTTATCACTAATCGCGTTCCATTGCATAGTTTTGGTTGGTTTAGATTTCGAAGCATAATGACTACCGAACCAATCTTTAATTGTAAATTGTGCGGTGGTAAGCCAGGCATATCCAAGGAGTTCAAAAATTCAGTTGGATAGTTGGTAGCTTCTTCTTCGTTTGTTACACAGTCAATAGATTTGAATGTATGCAGAGTACCAACGATTTGATTTTGAATTACAAAGTTTAAGTCATTCACATCTTTGTTCTTAGCTGCTAAAATTGCTCGCTCACTCAACCATTTTTAGTTTTTATAATTATCAATGATGTTCGGAAATACTTCATTGATGAGTTCGTCTTTTGATGAGACGAAATTGCAAAAATTTGAAGGAAATGCTATTAATCCGCTCGATTCTTCAACAGCCACACGGCCATTACCGATTAACAGCAATTGCTTGGAGAACTTCAGCAGATGTATCGTTGACCAATGCAACTCTCATGTTTGTTACCAGCTGAAGTTTTTTCACATAGCGCCAAAGATTTGATGATTTAAGGCAAGCATTTATTTCGTCGGCAGCAGTCGATTTTGGAATGACTGGGAGTGTTTGGCGAAAATCGCCAGACAGTAAAATCATTGCGCCTCCAAAACATCTCCAGTCATTGCGAAGATCTTTCAATATTCTGTCAAGTGCTTCTAATGCGCGTTTGTGCGCCATTGTGCATTCGTACCAGATGATGATTTTAGATGCTACTAAAACTTTAGCTATTGCAGAATGCTTCGCAATATTACATATCGGGTGCTCGGCAATTTTAACGCTGAATAAGCCGTACGGCATCCTTATAACAATGTAGCCGCTATTCCAGAAGAAGCAACTGCTACCGCAATGTCGGATCTCGCACGAACAGTGGCGAAAATTAATGACATGAGGAATGTTTTACCAGTCTCACCGGCGGCGTCCAGGAAAAAAAGCCACCATTTTCTTCATCAATCGCTTTCATTAATGTTAAACTTCCTTCTGTTGCGGATTCAATAGAAGTACATTAGTTTGAACTGATTGGTCTAATTCATGTCGATCATATTCACGTTCAGGTTCCAAATTATCGATTAAATGCGTTATTTATTCCACGATCAGGAGCTGGCATTCCTAATCTGGCTAACAAACTACCGCAGGTATGGTAACATATGTCTTCGATCAAGAGCAAAGCCTGATTATGCATTTCATCATTCACCTGAAGATCGGGATTTCTTGAACTGACACGAATTCTATGTAAAATGTCTTCTGACATGTTATCCTTATATTTGTTCCACAGGTCACGTGGATTCGATGGTATATTGACAACAATATTTATTTATTATATTTGAATTTATCATATTTGAAATTTGAAATTTCAAATATTTCAAATATTTGAAAAAAAAATTTAAAAAGAAATCAATATCACTCAAACTGTCGAACTGTCAACAGTTTGAAACAGCATTTACAAATTTATTATTTTTGCTAAAATTAGTGGATTTTTCCAATATTTTATAATGTATTCTGTTATTCGGAGCGGAGACGATTCTAACAAATCAAAGATAATTAAAATCGGTTCAGCCGTTCTTGAGTTATGAGTGGTGTAACTAACACAACTTTCTTTTATGTATATAGATTATACTTTTCTGAATTTCATTTGATAATAAATTATGATTGCTTATGTGATGCTAAAAATATTGGCAAGTAAAAAAGAAAAATAAATGATTGCTTGAGTGAGCGAAATTTCGAGGTTTGCTTCTCAATTGATATTGTTCTAATTTAATAGAATTAAATACTAATTATATAAAATATTTATTTATTAATTATTTAATTTAATTTTTTTAATAATTTATTAATATAAATAATAGTACAGTGAAAGATTTTAAAACATTTATCATTTATCCGCTCTTTAAAAAAGAAAACCCGTAGATTGCGAATAATTATAGAGGCATTTCTTTTTTAAACTTCACTGTAAAATTATTCACAGGAATCCTTCTTGAAAGGCTAAAGGCTTGGGCAGCAGAATTTAGTTTGCTCAGTGTATACCAGGCAGGATTTAGAAAAGGATACTCAGCAATCAATAATATTTTTTGTCTTAGAAGTATAGCCAATCAGTATACGGAAAAAGGTAAAAAGCTAATATATATGCATTTTTTATATATGCTGACTTTGAAGCAGCGTTTGACTCAGTAAACAGAAATGCTGTATTTTATAAACTCTGTATTATTGGCATGTCAACCAAATTTATGAAAATTCTAAGCAGTTTATATACCGAAAATCGTGCAGCTATATGGGATGGGGAACACTTGTCAGAATGGTTTGCTACTGCTTCAGGAGTTAAACAAGGTTGCGTACTCAGTTCGATTCTGTTCTCACTTTATATAGACGATGTGGTTACACATCTATCTGGAGGCGCATTTATAAATGGTGTAAATATTAAAGTTCTTTTGTATGCAGATGACATCGTCCTCCTAGCAGAAAGTCCTGATTGTTTACAAGTTATGATAAACGAGTTACACAGATACTGTAAGCTATGGGGGCTAACAGTTAATATTGAGAAATCAAAATCGCTAGTCTTTAAAAATAAAAATTGTCATTTCCAAAAAAAAAATGACTAATGTTAATACAATGGTCTTTTGACCATTAGGGAGTGATGCAAATACCTTTATCGTGGCGTCAGCCTATCTACCATACGACTCTACTGAACCACCTCCCAGTCAGGAGGTAAACAGACTGATGGAGTATTGTAGGACGAAAAGGCTAGAAATTGTCATAGGATGTGATGCGAACGCACACAACATTGTGTGGGGTAGCAGCGATAGTAACAACAGAGGGGAATCTCTCCTCGAGTTTGTTGAAAAATACAATCTGATGATTGTAAACAGGGGGTTAGAACCTACCTTCGTTGACGCACGAAGGTCAGAAGTTATTGACCTAACCCTGTGCTCAGGCGCAATGACACAGAAAATTGAGAAATGGAGGGTCGCTGATAGACTAACAATGTCGGATCATCGGGCTATACACTTTGAAATACTCTGTCGTCCGAAACGCACTAATAGTCAGAGGCTAGTAAGAATTCCTGAGAATACTAATCAGGTAACTTACTTGACGTTGTTGACGGAATTATTACAAAACAGGCCGTTGAGGAAACTCAAGACCACATGGAATGTAGAGACAGAAGTCAAAGCAATTACTGCTGCGATGATTAATACATTCGAAAACGCTTGTCCCCAAACTAGCATTGCAGAAAAGTCATCGACACCTTGGTGAAGTCAGGATCTTGATGTAATAAAAAAGGAGACAAGGAAAGCCTTTAATAAATACATGAGGGAGAAGAACTCCGAATCATGGGACTTGTATAAGGCCAAAAAGCGTGAATTTAAGAAAGCACTACGCAACCGGAAACGGGAGTCGTGGAGGAATTTCTGTTCGAGCATGAAGGGGACCTCTGAAGTAAGTCGGTTACAAAAGATGGTCACCAAAGATCCGGTCTCAAGACTTGGTTTAATCCGAAAGAAGGATGGTACAATGACGGAGACAGTAGGTGAGTCATTGAGTACTCTCATGGAGATCCATTTTCCAGGAAGCTTCAAATTTGATGATCACTGGCCATCTCCCAAAAGGGGAATGAACAGAGAGGAAAGACCATAAATGCATAAATGCAGTTAGGAATGCCATTTTGACATTCGCTCCATTTAAGTCACCGGGGTTGGATGGCATATTTCCAGCACTCCTGCGATGGGGAATTGACCTGCTCGCAGTTAGGCTCACGGAGATATTCAGGACGTCACTGGCAACAAGGTACGTCCCTAAAGCTTGGAGAGAGTCAAGGGTGACTTTTCTACCAAAGCCAGGAAAAAAGGATTACACAGAAGCAAAGTCATTCAGGCCAGTTAGCCTTACCTCTTTCATGCTTAAAGCTATGGAAAGGGTAATAGTGGACTACCTAGAATGCACCACGCTAATGAAATATCCTTTAAGCAGATGTCAACATGCCTATAGGGCGGGGAGATCAACAGAGACTGCCCTGCACGAAGTCGTGAGGACAGCTGAGAGAGAGCTGACTTCAGGAGGCATTTCGATGGCCATCATGATGGACATCGAAGGAGCCTTTGACAAAGTAAGCTTTGATAAATTAAAATCTGCTCTAGCTGACCGAGAAGTCGGTTCAATCATTATTGGATGGATAGATTTCATGTTAAGGCAAAGAGCAGTAAACCTACAAAATGGAAGACATAGACTGAGAGGCAGAACAGTCAGAGGCTGCCCACAGGGAGGGGTGCTTTCACCATTTCTGTGGAACGTGACCATAGACTCCCTACTTCAACAGCTTGACTTCAAAGGCATACAAACAATTGGGTATGCGGACGATATAGCACTGATGGTGAATGGCAAGTTCCCAGACACCATTAGAAACGTGATGAGAGGTGCTCTCAAATGCGTCGAAAAATGGTGTAGGGAACAAGGCCTGGCCATTAATGCCACGAAATCAGACACTATCCTCTTCACGAGGAAGAGAAGTCTGTCAATGGAGCCCTTACAACTTTTTGATAATAACATTCGCATATCAAAGTCGGTGAAGTATCTAGGTGTTATCCTAGATAATAAACTGACTTGGAATGAACATGTGGATGAAAAGATCAGGAAAGCGAAAAGAGCTCTATTTCAATGTAAGAGAGTGTGCGGAAGACGATGGGGGATATCCCCAAAATCGATGCACTGGATCTATACCATGATGGTCAGACCTATTATAACATATGCGTCAGTTGTCTGGTGGTGTAAAGTTACCCAAAAGACAATAAAGACGAAGTTAGATAGAGTCCAGCGACTAGCCTGTGTTGGAATAACAGGCGCTATACGAACTACACCAACACCGGCATTAGAGGCGATGCTAGGCTTGCTTCCGTTGGATTTACATATATAGAAAACGGCGGCACTGGCAGCAATTCGCATGAACCGGAGCTCCACGTGGAACAACTTCGGAAAATTAGTGGGCCATCGTAAGATTCTTGATCTCGTCCAGGCCGCGGTCAAGGAAACGCAGATGCCATTGGCGACTATGAGGAGGGTTTATGGGGCAGAAGTGTCCTACAGAACACTGATAGTAGACGGCCTTCTACATAATGAATGTGGAAGGAATGACATTTGCATATTTACCGATGGCCCCTTAATGGATGGCAGAGCTGGTGCTGGGGTTTACTCGAAAGAGCTAAATCTAACGTGCACTCTACATCTAGGAATATATGTTTCCGTCTATCAAGCGGAACTTATGGCGGTCTCTCATGCTCTGGATCACCTATTGGATTGTCAGGTATATCAGAAAAAGATTCTGATAGCGCTGGACAACCAAGCAGTTATCAAAAGCATTCAAAGGACATACATAACTAACAGCTTAGTACAAGAATGTGTAACGAAGCTCATGGAATGTGCTCATGGAAATGAGATGACGATCATGTGGGTTAAAGGACACATCGGTATTGAGCAAAACGAGAAGGCAGATGAACTTGCAAAGCAAGGATCAAGCCATAATTTCTGTGGCCCGGAGCCCAGAATACCATTGGGGTACAGCATGACGGCAGCCTATGTCAATAAGTGGATAATCTCACTTCATCTTAATAGATGGAGAGAGTTGAGCACTTGTAGACAGACCAAACTCATGTTACCTAAACCGTGGGCCAGGGAAGCGATAAAAGTGCTTAGCTATT